GTATATCATCTTTCTCTGACACCAATCTGATTTCCCGCCCGTTTCCCGACCAAGTCCACGAAAAGCGAACCATCTCACCAATCCATCCAAAATATTTCTCTCTGTTGATATCTGGATTTGTGGTCAGAAAATATTTATTCTGGTTTATTGTCAATAAAAAAAAGGAAAGCAAAAAGATAAGCTACTGTGCCTGAATTACATCCATTTATCCAAAACCCACTGAAAACAATTATAGACTGTCCTCCTGAAGGGCCACATTCACACATTAGGTGACATTGTGAGATTGATTGATGTGAGAGAAAACATGCAGAACTGAGGCCTTTCACTCTATATTGATTGAATGGATACATGGAAAGGTCATGGTAAATGTTTCATATTCCCAATGTTATTAAATGAAAAAATAAATGTTACCATACATAAATGTGTCCTCTGTTAAGATGATGGCAGGTATGTGATGTAGTTCTCTAAGATGAGACCACACTTCCCATAAACCATCTGGTGTGCTGTTGCGAAAGGGTTCTTTGCATCTTTGAGTTTTTATAATGTTCTAAAGAGACTAAACATCTGCATTCCACATGTTTTATCTCCCTTTGCACAAACATATGAAAGCTATAAATTATATAGAGGCTATTCTGTTAAATATTCTTATGTATAAGACAATAAAATGCTAATAAGATGGTTCCCATTGTGCTGCTGCTGTGCATTGTGCCACAGAGTGTTTGTGTTATCTGCTTCATGCTCGGTTGCAATATTACTCAACAGATTACTTACATCTTGAATGGCGCAGATCAGTATAATTGATTATCTCAATTAACACTTTTGAGACTAAGAACACATAATACCCTCTTACAAATGAATAGTTGAATTCATAAGCAATAAAATATACCACTGCTCAATTCCAAACAACTTAGGGACCGTACAAAAATGATTAGGGGTAAGGTGGGGTCAAGAAAGGTGATATATATATAGGGTTATATAGCTTTTTTTTTTTGCCAAAGGAAGGCTAATCAGATTTTAAGGTCTAGCCAGGTCTTTCATTCTTCAGAGCCCCAGAGTTTTTTATTTCACTCTTGTGAGAGTTGCAGTCAAAGAATACAAGACTGAATAGTTAACATCAAAATAGTCATGTGCATTCCTTGTAGGTCTGGATAAGTTAGACTGTTTGGTAAACAGGCCGCATCATTTTTCATGTTTACATAAACAAATAAAAATGTTTTCCTAGCCAAACAACCCTGGGGAGCCACACATGAAGTTCAGCCCCTCCCACCACCATAATAATTTTTCTTCTTCTTTTTTTAAATTATTTTCAACAGAAAAACTACATAATACAAAGAACTACAGGACAAAAATAGACACAAACATATTAATAACAAGAGAAAACAAATATTGATGTAGAGCAAATAATAACAGTCCCGTTCGTGGTGGTATGGCCCAAAGCTTTTGTTTGGTAAATATTAGCTAATGCTAGCTAGATTGTGCTCTGTCAGACATTACTGAACCAGTTTACAGAGTTTTTGACTCTTGTCCACTTGTGTTACTGTTGTACTGTTTCAACTTCTACCAAAAGTCACTCTCACTTTAACCTGCAGTGCTTCCATCTGTCCACTAGATGTCAGTGTGTTCTTGGAGAATAAGGAATATGGAGCTGTCCACCAGTTTCTGTGGGAATATCTTCTGGCAGCTTAGTTACTTTACTTCATCTTTAGAATGTCACCAAAACAAATATATAAATATGATTTACCCATTACTAGTAGTCACTGACAGCAGAGTGCCATTGCACATCAGCTTATCTAAGTATTAGTGACAACATAAACCTTATAATTTTGGGTACTAGCCTACATAACATATTCTATAATAAATGTTCCTGCTGCACTTTAAAACCAGATGAGTTCATTTAAAAAAAAAAATGTTGAAACTGATTGCATCAACATTTTTAAGTAAAACTAACTAAATTAAGTAAGTTAAAAAACACTCTTGATGAAGTAGCTTTAGTCATTTTAAGTGAAGTTGATTTTGTAACTTACAGAACTAAGTTGGTTTCACTTACATTAATTATCATATTAAAAGCGGCTTAATCAAAGATCTTTTTGACCTTAAAAAAAATAATTTTCAATGTAAATTCAGTAAATTGAGAAAATAACTTATCGTATTACAGTTTGTTGCACCATTTTCAGATTTTTTTGTACTTGTTCAAACCATCAAAACTCAGTAAATCAACCTCTCCCTGCAGAGGATGCTGTTGCTAATGCTACAGTTTGATCCTCCTACTCCCCTTTGCTCAATACTCCTTGAACAAAAGTTTGCTTACTTCATCTGTGTGATAATAATAAATGTAGATTCTAAGAGAGGGCTTCACAACCACTGATATCCAGGAGAGGGCTCTCTCACCAAAATCTCCCAACAATCCTCACTTCTTTGATTTTTACTTATTTTCCAACATACTTGTTATGCACAGCATTGGGAATGGCTTTATTTCCTCAGTATCCCCAGAGATGATGAGACAGCACTCATTCTGATAAAAGGCTGTAAAGTGTTGGCTATTTGTGCTGAAGCTAGGTCAATCTGCCTTTCTTCTTCACTCCCCGGGAGGAATGAGGCCACTACTTATTTGCAGGCTTTCAAGGTGTTTCTGTGAAGTCTTTTTCACACACTACCAATGAAACAGCACATTTTTTCTCTCTGTATTTCACCATTACTCAGCTATGAGTGTTTTCATGGGCTGGTCTGTCTCAACAGGGCCATTTCGATTCCATCTTTGATGGATGTGGGAAAAGTTTTGAAACACGTGGAGCACTTTCATGTGGTTCCACTGCCATAGCTGCATTAAAACCAGTGAAAACCTAACTTTCATAACACATCTCATACATTAATATAGCATTTCATATTTGTCCATGCATCCTATTTATTACCTGTGTTGAGTTTACTAACAGTAAGCATTATTAGGGCTGACAGAGCTAATTGAGCACATCCTAAATGTAAGGCAGGGCCTCTCTGTCCTCCTCCAGACTGCACTCAGGCTTTATTTATAGTCTGAGGTCTGCACCAAGGATCCGCTCTGCTGTAGCACGACTGTGTCACTCAGGGCTGGTGGTCCCCAGTCACGACCTAAATGATGACAAAATTCTGCACCACGGGAAGTTGACGTCACCGCGGCACAATCACCTCCTCGTTGACGTCATTTGACGGAGGCTGGGGTGGCAGCAGCCGGGGTTAATGCCATCTGCTGGATGGACTCAGCCACTCACCCGGCATTACGTCATCGGGGAGAAACCGGTGCCAGCTCCGGATCGGTATAGCCTGAGAGTCTGGATCTGAATGCAAAACGAGCCGGGACAGACAGGGGGGGTGGCCTGTAGTAGCTCTGACTGAGGCTATTATTGGACAGGAGCTGTTTGATCGAGCAGCTTCAACCTCTCTCAGATCAGCTGACCGCAGTACAAACAGGCTAAAGTTTCTCTGCACAGTGAGACATCCTCTTACACCTTATACTTGTACTACATGATTTTTGGCAATTTTATAAAATAAATGAATTGTTATCTTGGGTTAACCCTTGATATAAGACAAATGGACAACAGCACATTGATGCTGACCAATGCGCATTATCCCCGTAGAAAGTGAAAAATAACATAACATTACATAATATATATACCTTTATTTAAACTCGAAAGTAACGGTGGGCTGGCCCTCATTTACAATGATGTCGAACAGTTTAAAATATACAAGTACAATACATACTAATATAATAAATATAAATAATTTATAAGAAATAATGTTTTGTTGTATTTACTGAAAACTTTAACAGTAGTACATGAGACAGATAATCTGTGAAAAAAAATTGATTATCTGTCTCATGTTCTACTGTCAGTATAAAGTGAAAGTTTCAGCAAATATAACAAAACGTTTTTTTTTTTTTTCAAATGTTACCTAAAACGAATTTAACATAGCATAACACATTGGAGTTTTTACAATGGCACAATGTTTAACTTTAGGTCCCTGAGAGAAGGTCTGTTTTACAGCCAGGGGAAACAGATCACACACAGACGTAGGCTACATGAAACACAATAATATGTATAAAGCATAAAAACACGTCAAACTTATGCTAAAGCCCGACACACTTTCTCACATAAAATGCAATATACGTACATCAAGTGGCAGCAAGAGTTTATTAAAGCGCCATATGCAAAATACATGCATGCAAAACAACATACAGAATATACCTAAAACTAAATAATAGGAGGATTTACCTGTGGGTGCAATATCATTTAGCTTATAGAGCAGATGATAGATACTCTAACAGCTGATAAACCCAGTGAACGAACTGTTGAGACTCAGCTGCTGTCCATGGTGCTGAAATGGACGAACGGCTACAGGACAGACAACTTCATCATGTGTACACTGCCGGCTGCAACACAATCCACACGTGGTCTATAAAACGGGCTTTAATGTGTGCTTTATTTAAAAAAACAAAACAAAAAAACAACAAGTATCGCGAGAATCGGATAGTCAGGTTGGTTATAGCTGTTAGAGGCACTTTGGAACTTTGTGTGTCAAGGGTGTGCGTCTGTGTGTGTGTGTGTGTGTGTGTGTGTGTGTGCGCGCATGTGATGATGGTGAGGACCCCATTCTCACATGAGTAAGCGCGCCTCCGCAAAAAGAGGAGAGGAAGGAGGGCTGCATTCCCATTGACTGAGAAAGAGAGAGAGAGAGAGAGAGAGAGAGAGAGAGAGAGAGAGAGAGAGAGAAATAGAGAGAGGGGGAGCAGCAGCACGGACTCCGCCTATACCGCCCTAACATCCAGCTCCAGTCCGACGACGGCGGAGGCACCACAGACCAGCCGAGCGATCCAGCGTCCCCCCCTTCAGCTCGACTCAACTCCCGGCGTGAAGAAACAGAGAGATGGGCTCCCCGTGAATCCGGGCGGTGGTGGTGGAGGGGAGAGGCGGGCAGGCGGGGGGTGGGGGGGAACGACGACGAGAGCGTGGTGGGAGAAACACCCAGAGAGGAGAGGACAAACAAAAGCACAACCGAGGGTGCCTGCAACCATGAGCGGCTTGCACTATTCGCCGGAGCTGCGGCTGCCGCTGCCGCTGCCGCTCTGCCCGCGGACCATGTCGTGAGGTGTGGCTCGGAAAAGCTCCGGGGAACCTGTCAGCCGAAACGACTCGCCGAGGAGGAGGAGGAGGAGGAGGTGGGGTGGTGGTGGTGGAAAAGATGTCCGCCTCGGTGGGGCCCCAGGGTGGCCCTCGCCCACCCACCGTGCCGCCATCCATGCCGGATCTCCCGGACCTCAGCCATCTGACCGAGGAGGAGAGGAAGATCATCATGGCAGTGATGGCTCGGCAGAAGGAGGAAGAGGAGAAAGAACAAGCCATGTTAAAGTAAGACGTAACATTTTCCCCCCCTTTTTTCCGCGGAAGTTAGAACGCATAGCAATCCCCATCAGAAAGCTGCCTCTTGCACACCCAGCTGCCCATTATAACCCAGTGTAACCAGTGTGGTGGTCAACATCACACACCCATCACATCCAGTAACCATTAGCCGATGCACCTCCTCCGCTCTGCCATCATATTGCACTAGTGTAGCTTCGTCTTGAGGAGGTGGTGGTGTGTTCCCCCCAAAAAGGAACCCACCAGTGTAAGGCACAGTGGAGCAGTCAGAGCTAAAAGAAGTCAGCATCATCAGGAATACAGCGGGAAGCCATCTGGGGCTCGAGGCTGCTCGAATCAATCAATAAGTGAAAACAATATACAGCCAGAGTCAATGGAGATGACCCGAAACAGGGTCAAACGTGTTACAGGTGCAGATAGGCGCCGCGAGGATGAGGTGTGACAGTGCTGTGGTGATGGAGGTGATCGGGGCGGGGGGGGAGGGGGGGAAGAGGCTGGTGATGATTCATAGCATTATCCATCCTTCACCCACTCGTTTTCATCAATGGGGAGGGGGGCGGGAGGACTGCACCCCATCCCTGAGTTTACACATCCTCTGAATCCTCTTTTACGCACGCATGCAGGCTGCAGTGGCTCCATCCGTGTGCCTTTTTGCAACCGCGGAGCGAATGTGTGTGTGTCTGTGTGTGTGTGTGTGTGTGAGAGAGAGAGAGAGAGAGAGAGAGAGAGAGAGAGAGGGCAGATCGCTTTGACAATAACGGCAACAACAATGACATTATAGCTCACAGGCCTGGAGCGACACAAACCGTTTTGTAAGGCCGAAAGACGGACGGTGGCGATCATTTGTGCTCCCCTCGGCGGAGGGAAGAAGAAGATGGGGTGTGGTTGGGAATCTTAGCAGGCCTGAACCGGACACGAAACAGATTAGAAAAGAGACAGGATATATTGTAGCACACCTGAAAAGCCTCTGTAGTATTGATCAAATGGCCATCCATCGCCATACACTAAGAATCTGAGCTGCGTGAGAATAAGAAAAGGCAGTGATACACTACAGAAGGACACTATAGAGGCTATACACAAACTGTAAGCCACTAAAGGAGCATGATGGGAAAATATCAGGAGCTAGCTCACTTTATGCTCACAGACACACTCTTGAGATGTTAGAGAGACATTACAGTGTCTTGTCAAGAGGGCTGGGTGTGCTACAGCTCCTCATACAAAGGGTTGGTTACATTGCAGTTTGATGCCTCAGGGGGGTTCCACCATGAAACTCTGAGCTGCATCCACACCTGCACTGACTGAGGCATGCGAGGGCCCTGTTCCTGGCTCCATGATGAAGGATGTTGCCGTGGGCAGCAGGCGTGCAGCGTCCTACGGCACTCTGGCTCGCTTTGATTCTAATGGCTGTTTTCATTTCCTGACTGCAGCCTGAAGGGGAGCTGGGTGAGAGCTGCGTCGGGGCCCCTTGAGAGGAAGTGATGTATTTAATGTTCCATGAGGCACAGGCTCAGGTTCAGTCAATAACGGCTTCATCATCTGGCTAATCATTGATGGGACCAGAACGGCATGGTCAGAGGAGAACTGGGATTTTGGAGATATGGAAATAATGGCTAGTGTGAGGCAGCCAGTAGTATTTCCTACAGTATGTTTTGCTAAATGATGGCAGATGCTGAATGGATATGAGGAGGGTTAGCGAGATTAATGGCAACACGTTGCTTTAGGATTTATAGGCATTATACACACACTTCATAAATGGTTTATAATACACTACAATATAGTTATAAGCAGATATAAGGACATCAGTGTTCAGGAGAAATTATAGACAAACATTAATACACACCTCTATAGACAACGTCATTATAGTGTGTTATGAACCATTTGTTACATGTGACACACTGCATATGAATCATGTAAGCATGAAGGCTAATGTCAGCAAAATAGTAACGAAGATGTGTACAAAAAAGCAGATTCCACTGTTGTGGTTGCATAAAACGTGTTTTTATTTCGATTTTATGCCTTTAGTAGAAAAAGGGCAATATGTATCGCCTTGCTTATAGTTTCACGATATATCGCAATATATCAGATCATAATCCCTGTATCGTGATACTTATCGTATCGCCAGACTGCCAATACACAGCCCAAAAGGCTGAAGCTGAAGGCGAGGAGTCAAAGTCAAAAGGAAACAGAGGTCACCAGATATGTCTTCAAGAATCCTTTCGAACTTGAAAAAAATGTAGTTAGTGTTAATTACAATTTTTGAAGTAACCAGTTTCAACTATTTCTTTGAGTTAAAATAACTTATGACATTACAGTGAGGGAATATCTTTGTCTTTCCCAGGTTGTGGTTGGTGTGAGGAACTTGACCTTTTCTGGGCTCTGGCCCTATGAGTAAAAACATGCTGGTGCCCTTTAGATGTCAGTGACAACCATCCAACTTTTTCACTTATCTTTTCCATATATAGAATCTTGAGTGATGAATCAAAAGGCACAGGCAGCAGCATTAGCACACATGAAATCTCTGTACAGTAGATAGTTATGGATTATGGTTAATGGACTGTATCCTTATTTTTCTGTTTTTAGGGGGAGAAACACGCTCTGCTGTGGAATAACAATTGGATTTGAAAGTTTATGACTAAAGTGTTTAGAATGAGTCATGTGGAACAATCTGTCACCAGAACACATTCTTAAAGCTATAATATGTGACATTTCCACATTAAATCGTCTATAAACACTAGACCTATATTATATAGTTTATTTGTGTCCTTACAGTGTTGAACAAATATTTCAAACAATGTTGAAACCCCCAAAAATCTGTCATTTTATTCAGGCAGCAGTGGTTTGCCTGTCAGTGGCGTCATATCCCCTTCATGCATGCATCTGTGGTAGTCTGCCCGACGCCAGTCGTACATTTACTTTTTATTAATAAACGTCTTAGTACTTTACTTGGTATTTAACTCTGTATTTTAAGTGGATGAAAGATTTCAGTCATCGAACGTCTGGAACTTTTTATTATCAGAGAAACAAGTTGAGCTAACGTTAGCAGCAGCTCGGATCTCATTCTCTCAGGAACGTCCTCTGTCTGTCCAACAGCATCAGACAAACGATGAAACTGCTTTATTCTGTTTTTAGTGATTTTAAATTACTGAAGGAGACCTCTGCGAATAATTTGGCTGCCAGTAGAAACCTCCTGAACAATGAACACTGAAGGATTCTTGACTGCAATTATGGCAATAGTGGTGAACTCCCATGATCCCACACAATTTCACAACATCATCAAACCTCATCTTTTGTTATTGCTTTGATGTGAACGACCCGCTAGCGGCAGAAATTACATACTGTACATTTAAGTACTTATGATGCTGTATAACAGTGTAACTTTAACATTTGTAGTCGATAGCCATTAATGGCTATCAGGAAGGTGTGTTGAGAGAACTGTTTTGCTACCATAGGATTACTGGAGAATGTTAGTGTCCTGAACAAAAAAGATACTGACATTGATTAATGGTAAAGTCCTTGACTGATCGGCTTAATCTCTTCTCTTTTTAATTCTCTTCATAATATAATGTAGTAAACCACACTAAAAGGCTTCATTTGGTCACAGAGCCATTGAATATACATTATTGTCATATACAGATGCCCTCTGTAAGTCTTAATTGTCTTTTTGCTGTCACAAATTATCTCAGTGGAGAAAGCTAAATTTGTTTCTGGACCTTTGAATCATCACAGCAATTCGGATTGGTCTGGTGTTGTGTTCAATGTCAGCTATTTCTGCCGGTTAGAGAAACAGTGTGGGGACGTCATCTTTCTATAATAGTGCGCTACCTAGCTACAGTCATGAACACTAGTGACAAAAAAAAACACAATAGAGGCTGCTGTTCAATGACTTGCAGAAATAACTAACATATTTTTTTAAACGTCGTGAAAATTGCTAACTCCACTGCCACAGCATCAAGGCCAAATGAATGAAGTGAAGTGAAATGGCAATTCAGTCTGATTATCAGGCTATTACATTCCAGACAGGCCACCAAAGTGGGTCTCTTTATAACAATTAAATTAGTTTATCCATTTATGTTGTTTGGACACAGGGTTAATTAATTTCTGTATATTTGTGCTAACTGTACTCTCGTAAGCGATATCATTCAAAGCAACCTCTCTATCTATGAAACCTATGGAACAAATTCAGCTTCATTGGCAAAGGCAGACATAAATAACAGCTTTCACATCCAAAAAGAACATTCTGTACCTGGTCAGCACTGTCCAATCAGGTTGCAGCGTTGCCTGAGACCTGTGCAGCTGGCAGTGATAAGGTTATACTGATACTGGACTTTATCTGTCATGAGTTTAACCTCCAGCATGAGAGAGGCTGAAGTGCCCTGATCTGTTGCTGAGCCAGAACACCTGGTTCTGGGCGAATCATTTACTCTTGTCAGGCTGTGAGAAGTCAACACCTGAGCTTTCCTTCACTGACTCGCAGAGCTAACGAACACTTTGTTCGTGTCTAATACACTATAGACTTCAGAGACTCCCTCCATTGACTTGCTAAACCTCCATTGACTTCCTAATCCAGAGGATGTGAGTGGAGGGGAGCTGTCATGCTGTGGGGGGAGTGAGTGAAATGCTGAACGCAGCACTGACCGACCAACCTCTCAGATGCTGTGACGTTAAATATCCTCCTTCCAGCACAGCAGCAGAGATCCCATCCACCTCTGGGAGCTTGTGAGGTTTCCAAAATGTAAATATAGAATTAATGTGTAAGATATTGATGTGCTCAGCAGAGAGGTTGTAGACATTTCAGACGGGGGTGGATGCAGAGTACATACAAGGCCTTAAGGTTGGAGTGGTGGGTGTGGTTAATGGAGGCACCACTTGTGTTGATGTTGAGGCTAAAGCACTAGAGTACAAGTAAACACTATTAGTAGTAGTACTCCTTGAATTTACTGGAACTCACATCTGGCTTTATTAGTATTAGTATTCAGTCATCAAATTCTTTA